TCCGAGTCTGAGCCGGTCCATGCATTCGCATGCCGCATGCGTCGAAAGAGCGGCTTCATCAACCTCAGGGTTTTAGACAATGCACAGCTTCCCTGGGTAGCCATGACCATGGCCTGGAGGATGTGTGATTTATTCTTTTGTGAACAAACATTGGGTGGGTGTTTCAAGGAACACAATGTCCAGTCATTTTCGCTGCTGCTACACATCGCAAGTGGATGGAAACTTGGCAGCGGTTTGCGACCGGAAACCCATGACAAGAGTTCCTTTCTTTAAGAACCTTCTCATGCTTTTTGGGTTGGATTCTCTCAGCTCTTTGAGTAACATTGTTTCACCCAGGTGTGTGTGTGTGTGTGTGTTCAACGTCTCACGTTCAGGGTAATGCACAGTCAGCAACCCATTTGTTTTCCTTCCCTGTTGGCAGGGTTCCCAAGCTTCCCTTGCTCGTGGCTTTGAACATTGCCGTTTGGGCAAGAGAGTGAGTGTCTCTCTTGGGTGATTTTCCAATGGGCAAAATGGGGAAGTGTGGGGCGGTTTCACAAAAGAGGAGCTGAACGGGTTGTAAGGCGGAGCCTGTCTCGGCGTCTTTTTTTCGAATTGGTGAAAAGCACATGTGCAATGGGCAAAAGACCCCTTTACTTGGGGTTAACAGGGATGGTCATCCACCTGGTAGCAAGGATCCTGAATGGCAAAAAAATACATTTTGATTTGGAGAACCATGACCATAGCCGTACAAGGAGTTTTGACCATGGCTCGAGATATCCCCACGCCCCGATAAGCAATTAGAAGCCGGCGCGTACCAAATATAAGGGCCCTTCTTTGATCAGCCGATTCATTGCGAAATCGCCCACATTTCATCGAGATTGTGTACCCACCCGATGCTCGCAATCCCTCGTTGGAGGATGATGTCATTTTTCACAACGGTTTGGAGCGAAAATGCCATCCACATGTGCCACACCCGCTTTGTTTTTGTTGAAGGTATCCCTTTTTGTGCCCTTTTGCGAGGAACAAACTATTCGGAGGCAACCCCAACCAACTTGCAGGAGTTTCTGTCGAGTTTATCTTGGTAGGGATGGTGCTTAAAGGTCAGAAACAAAGCATAGGGAAAGCATAAGGACAATAGGCCAACCCCGCAGAAAGCACAGAGGTCCCTTGCGCTGACGGTAGGCCCTTTTCAGAAGACCGGCTCCTCAAGCGCACCGCGCCGGGAGAGGCGGGCGAGTCGCTCGCCGGTCGAAATCTTGGATTGGTTGGTTTGAGGGTTGGTTTGGGGTCATGCAGTGTCCAGAAAACACGTCCAAAAAGGAGTCCCCTATTTCAGGGCCGCCTATGCTTTCCTTGTTGGTGAAAATGTAGGGAGCCCTGTGCCATGATTCCACACTCGACATGCTGCCGTTCCCGACCAGCTAGAAGCTGGCAAGGAAAGCCAAAGTTCTGCTTGATTTGAAGTGGGATTGACTGGTTGCTTTTAGGCTTCCCACCCCAGTACTAGCTCCAAGGCCCTGCACATTTTGGTAGAAGTCTGTTTGACCAAGCTGAGGGGACAACAAGCAAACCCCCACGATGCGGGTCTTTTACTTGGCAAACCCTGAATTCAGGTTTTGGATTGTTGTAAACAAATGCAGATTGAAGCCTGAGGTGCCCACATGTTGTTGGCGCGTCGTGTGCCTGTGTGTGGGTCTGTGTCTTGGGTCTGTGCGTCAACAGGACCCCTTTGACCTTTCAAGGCCCATCTGCGTAGTGCTTTGCTAATCAGGAATCAGCCCTTGCGTGAGCAGCCCTTGTTCCACAACGATTTGTACCACAGTGTTTATGTCAAAACCAGGTGTCCTTCAGGCGGAATCAACAATGACAACTGGTCGATGGGCCCAGAGTCCAATTTGAGATAATTTGAGGGAGATGCCAGATCGCTTGTTAGGGGACATCACCCCTTTGTCCCCCTGGTTTGATATGGTTTAACGAGGAACCCAAACTTTCTAACCTGGGTGGCTGACAAATTCGCACGGGTGTTCGGGTGGTCCCGTCCGAGGTGAACTTCTTTGAGGCAAGATCGGGGGCCGTGAGAGCGGTTTGCTTGGGGAATTCCAGCACTATGAAGATATATATGTTTAAATATTTGCCCTGTGCAAGTCTTCTAAGTTGGGCCGCCATTTCAATGCAACTCGGCAGATTAATCTTGCCTAATTAAGTTCTGCTATGCAGCTGTATTTTGTCCTTTCACCCAACGTTCCTTGGGGTGAGACTTCCTGGATGTGACAGTCGTTCTAAAAGAAGGATCCCTGGAAAGAAACAGTGAATTACACTCAGATATTTGAGTGTGGTCGCGGGATCCTTTGGTTTGGAGCCCTAGCAGGGGGTTCCAGTCGTTTGCCATTGCTTCCATCTACCATGCAAGTAAGTGACCAGAGAAGACCAGAGGTGAAACACCCTGATTCCTACTATAGTGGTAGCTGGAAGCACTGGGTTCGTTGGCTGGTCGCTTGGAGAAGTGAGCTCAGCTCCTTGCTTTTTTGCACCGCTGTGAGTGTGGAACTAAAACTTTCAGGATTTGGGTGTGATGGAACATCCCAAGCGGAAGCTTCCGCCCTGTTGCTTGTCGTGTGCGGCGAAAACCAAAGGGAAACCCGGAAACCCCGAACATTTGGCAAGGCCTGCAAACGTTGGACACTCCCCAAATAGCAAGGAGCTGTCCTGTTTTGATTTGGGGCCTGATGTTTGGCATCCTATCCCTCGCAAACTTGCGTTGGGTCACGTGTTGGAGAGATTTAGAAAGTAAGTTGCTAGATACGCGATGTTCTTGCAAACAAACTAGGGCGGTATTGGGGAGGTGTTTGTTGGCGCGCCCCCAACCAGTCTATGTTCAACGGATTTGTTAAACGGCAAACTGCAAACATGTCCCTTCTCAGCCATGCTTCAAACAAAGCGGACTTCTTGGGCCAAGTCCAAACTCAGCTTCCTATGGGTGATGTGTAAAGCGGAGCCCAGTGGGAGACCACTTCCTTTGGTTTGATGCGTAGTCCGAGCGAGCCGAAGGGGCGAGCTGGGCAGGTCTATGAGATTGGCGAGCTGCTGGGCAGCGGCTCTTTTGGCCAGGCCCGGCCACCCGGTCCCCGCGCGCCGCGCGGCGCGGGATCGCGCTCGGCGCCTTCAAGTGGGCAGAGCAACATGGAAGTGTGCAGCGCGTCCCAAATTGTCGATGTTAGGTGGAGGGTTGGACAATTCAAGATGTCGCTTGGAGCCAGAAGGATTGCTCCGAGCCAGGGGCCTGCATGGATTGGTTGGGATTGTTTGCATTCAGGAAAGCGACTGGAGAGTTTCTAAGTTTTCTGGGTGAGACACGTTTGCGCAATGGCAACCCTGCCGTGGCATTTAGGAGGTGCGCTGTAATCGATGTGATACCTAGCCAGAAATCAGAAATTCCGGAACGCAAAGCCTAGAAGCACTGGGGTAGGCTTGGAAGTCATGAAACTATGAGCTAGACAGGCCCTTAGTTTGGGTCTATCATGAAATCGACTTGCACACTAAACCCCCGAAATGTCTCCTGTGTCCCTGCAACTTGACATGCAACGCAAATAATAAGGCCCCTCACCCAAAAACAGCTCCTTTACCAGAGAGAGAGAGAGAGTGCCGCGCTTCCGACCACTCTTCAGGTGAGGCGCTGCTGGCCGCTCCATGATCCAACCACCAGGTATGCGGTCAAGGCCCAGCCAGGGTTCATTCCGTCAGCTGCACCCACCGCGACTCGCCGGGATCTGAACTTTTGGCTTTCCTCCAGTTTGAGCCATTGCTTCAAAGGTGAACCTTTTCTCTTCTCAAAAGGATACTCTACATCCGAGAACCACCTGCTTTACCAGGGGGGTCCTCTAAATCCTGGAAAAGTGCTTTGGCTTACTGGCCCAAGTATTCCTTGGGATCTTCTTGCACTGGGCGAACTGACTCAGACCATGGGGCAGCTTCCCGATCTGCGAATACCGCCACCTGCTAAGCTGAAGGAGAAGAAGGATTGGAAGTCTTGGAAGGAGCTGAAGGAATTGTACTTTGGGCAGTGGCGCAAATTGGGTTGTCTTAAATAGAGGACCTGTTTTGGGATGGTTCAAAACAAAAATATTTCTACCTGCCTAAACAGGCCTTCAATTTTGAAAAATCCAAAATCTCAGGATTGGTGCCGTAACCATTATCCTCATTCGTTCTCTTCAGAACCACCCATGTTCCCTTGTGTTTATCATTTCTTTGACGCATCCCTGAACAGAGTTGGGGAAGGTCGGCTAGAGCAAAGGTTCGATGAGTTGGTGAGAGCCAGTTGCTTGGGTGTCCCAGGCCAGTCATTTTGGTTGACAATGGATGGCACTGGTCTCTTTGCTTCTATTCATATACCTTGGACCCTGCAAGAAATAAGCTACTAAGGACCTACTAGTGGTGTGGATGTCCGCACTTTTACACTTTCGCACTGATGTCTGGCGGTGCTCAACATCCAGCGGATGAAAGATCGGATGAGCCACTGAAATTGTGTTTCCGATTGTCACGTCTTTGGAAGGTTCCAAAAGCTTGCCACCTGCCATGGATTGCAGGCGATTGACACCAAGAGCGAGGCGAGGGGTTCGCTTAGTTGCAAAGTGCACAGCCTCCCTATTGCAATTATTTAGGCCTTTTTATTAGGGCAAAGTCCCCAGCCAGAAAGAGGTGCGGCTGCCCTTGTGTTGATTTGAAGGCGTGTGGCTAGACTCTTCTGCCAGGTCATTGCGACTCAAATGTGAAAACCTTGGTTTTCGATACTAAAGTATGCCAACCCTTGGCCCTTTTTCAGCAAACTTGTTGCCTGTCAGCACAGATCCTGCGATTTGAAAGCAGCTGGATATCTTGCCGAATCATCCGAGGTTCGGTCATTTGTTTGCGTACAGGTCGTCTCATGTCCATCCCAGTGCTTCTAGACACCCTCTTAAGTAACCAGAGGAAACTATCCATGGTTTGAAAAGCTGGAGGCCTCAACAAAGACACTATTTTTGCTGGGCGTGGT